ATTATCCTTATTTTCTCGTAATTTAAAAATCCTTAGATTTAAGGTCAAAGTAATCTCTAACTGTGTGTTCCGAATACTTTTGTGGGGACTTTTATATTGAAGACATGCCCAGGAAAGTTGTAAGTTGATGCCTTAGTAAAGTCCACCAGTAGTCTCAATAGAACTGAAAATGTGTGAATCCTTATTAAACCGTAGAGTTGTGATAGTATGTAGTCATGAAATCTCTTTTTTACTTAGAATATTATCCGACACTTTGTGAATTGATTGGAGAGTGCCTTCATAGTGATTCACTGTATATTTTGAAAATTTTACTCCGTTAATTTACAGATTTACATTCTTTTTGTGGCTTTATGAAAATGCAATTTAGGTTTTTGGAAAACTGCATCAGGTGCAGTCAGTTTGTATAAACAATAATCACATTCTATATACTTGAAATTCTAAATTTAGTCAGTTAAAAGTGGAGATGGCATTATGGTAACCTATGGCATTAGTTCAATTCAATCTGGATATTATTTCTGATTTATTAAATGCAGACACAATCTTCACAGAAGGATCTCACTCAAATGCCGGTGACATCATTAAATCAGTAAACTTTGGCCTAGATATTATACAGACAAATCAACCGAGCAACTATAGGCTCCCTTGTATCACCTATACTAGACAACCTATTTATGAGTAAATTGCAAGAAAGTGTCTTCACACACTTAGCAAAGCCAAACATTTGGCTAAGATATATTGATGGCACCAACATAGTTCTCAAATGCACCATTCATCATTCTTGAATAAGCTGAACACCAACATCGGCCTTCTCTGGGAAACAATGGTAGACAACTGTCCCTTAATTTTCTAGCTAGACCGAAAGATATTTAACATTTGGACATGACTACTTTCAGGAAGATGACAAATACTTAGATTTCACCTCATCAAATACATCATTCTTGTCTCTGTTACTTCCAGTATTTTGAAAAGAGTATGATCTTTGACGATGGCGAAGACCCCTCAAACGGAAAATTATCAGGTGAACTTCTTTCTAAATTTCAGAAATAATATCAAAAAGGATCAGGAAATTCTGTTAATCCATGGGATAAAACAATATCCACCCAGTTCATTTCAAACGCCTTGGATGAGCTTAAAAGATTGCTCCAAAAAAATGCCATATCAGAATGGTCCGAAGAAAACCAAATGTAACGGCATTTAGAATGTAGAATGCTCAGACTATGATACAGTATCAATACAGCAGACAATGTGTAGTGAAACTTAGATCAAATGAATACTGAAAAGCTTCCATTTGACCCGGTAGAAATCCGGCGGAGCTGGAAAGGGTTTGAAACATTCCAGCCAGCATTTTTTTCTATAAGATACAGAATATAGTTTGTAAACATGACATAGTTCTACTGGGGGGTCATTTGTGGCGAAGTGACCTAGTGGAAGTGACTGACAGAACAATACGAGAAACGATACTAATGTAATGACATTTGAACCGGATAAGAGTACCGGCTGTTCTTCCTCAGACTTGACACTTCACTGAAGTGCAAAAGTCAAAAGACAAAGACCAGCCTGTGATTGTAGAGAAGATACTTTATTCGACAAAAAGCACATCATTTTTATGGATTTTTCATGAACATGTAAAACCACTGGGTCAGAAGTTGGGTACTTATTCTGAATGGTCAACTGTGGGACAAAATTTTATTTTGACGACATCGTAACATAAAGGTTGAAATCTGAAACTTCTACCTTAGTGACCGTTGACTTAGGATAGTAATTTCGATTTGAGCCACTTTCTATCACGTAACAAAATGACTACAAAATCAGCTGAATTCAGAAATATCCATAAGAACCAATATCGGACAACCTTCGTCATCGTTGCTAGGTTGAAACTCCAATAATGCATATATGACACATTTTTCAAATAAACTACATCTTATAATAATGTCATGTAAATATAATTTACAGTCAATTGACGATCACCTCTCAAAGGAACTCCATGAAACATTAATCAGAGGGTCGAGAGAAAACTTGTTAAAATATTCATATAATGATAAGACTAAATAACTTCCACGAGTAAAATACTTAACCAAATTTTCTATTTTCCCTTCTATGATTCGTTATAGCATACACATTCACAGTACCACACAGCATGAAGTAGTATTATTTAATCGATGATGTATCGACCAGGAATCATTTTACATAGGCTGTGTTGTCAATTTGTCTTTCCCTCAAAAATTCTCTTAACTGCTAGCTCATCTGCTTCTTCATTGTCAAGATCATGATGTTTTATTTGTCGAGGAAGAACCTAAACTAGTCGCTAATTATCATAACCATCTCATTCAACGAGTCTCTTTTGTTCATATGAACTGGTTGATACCAGAATACTAATTCTAGTTGCCTCTGACCACGATGAAAAGCGAAAGAAATCCAATCGTAAATTAACCAAAGGTTTTCGCACTGATCGTTAGCAGTGGTGGGTGGCAAAAGTCAAAGAGATGGGACAAGCATCGAAGTTGACTAACACTCACCGACTATTTAGGCTTATTAAAGATACTGCCAAGGAAAAGACTATGGTGAGTAAAACACTGAGAAGGATGGAACGCTGATAATCTCCCACGACAGGCGGCCAGAACGCTAAGTAGAAAGCTTTAAAGTACAGTTCAACTGGCCCACAGCAACATTTCAGTTGCCTAAATTCCGACCTGAACTTGAATGGGAAATGAATGTTGATCCTCCAACTCTCCTTGAAGTTGAGAAAGCTAAATCGAACCTGAAACGCCGCAAAGCAGCGGCAGGACCTGACAGTTTGCCCTCTGAATTTCTGGAGGATAGACATTAGAAAAATATCATTAAAGTGACGAAAGTACTATATTATAGTATATAGGAATGAGAGTTAGGGCTGTCAAACTAGTCCGCTTCACTGATTATCCGACTCTATAAGAACGGAGAGAAATCTTGTGATAACCGTAGGAAAATTAGTTTCATAAATATTTAGTCGAAGGCCTAAGGGTCTTTAGTTATACAACGGCTGACTGGGGTTCAAAGACCGTAAACTCGATAAAACTAGGCAGGTTTCACTTATAGGCAGGTTTCAGTCAGACCTGGTCGAGGGTGCATCGATCACATTTTTGCACGCCATATTTATTGATCTGAAGGGGGTATTTGACTCCGTTGACCATGAGGTGTTGTGGCAGTGTCTAACAGTGGAGGGAGTACCAAGAAAGTATATAATGCTAATCGAAGCTGTCTACCAAACTGACGCAGCCACATAAGGGTTAGTGGAGGGTTGTCTTCAGAATATAGGACAACTAGTGTCTTCATCTTTGACTACTGTGGTGTGCTCTTTTTCGGCGTGAACTATAACTATCTTTATTTTAATCTTCAGTTTCTTAAGAGGTCTCTGTTCCTCACTGGTTAGTCGAGTACGGCTTTGCTTCCGCTTGGTTAGAGGTACGATTATTTGCCGGCTACTTGTCTTAGAGTTTAGTTCTGAAGTCTTCAGTGATGACTCTAGGGATGCAAAGAATTTCGGAGCTGAAGTGTATCCCATATTGTTATTCAGCTCTTTGTGAAGGAGAAGTTCTTCTGATTTGGCCATAGGTTGTCTGGACAATTTAGTTACACTTTTTCCCCTTTTGATGTTCGTGATTTTGAAATCTTGGTAAGCTAAACCTCCGCATCAAAACCTTGGGAAGTCTCATCACGTTATCATATTTATTCATCAAAATGATAAGATAAATCTATGTTTATGAGTAGTTTGCAGGAAGATATGTTAACAGTAATTAGGTGAAAGCACAGTGAATCCTGTCAAAAATTCAATACTAACCCATCTAGTGAGTTTGGCATACTAAAAGTATAGGACTTTAGCTTTCAATATTCTATCTACAGAATGCTACAAGAATCCTCTAAATGGGTCGATGGTCGACTGCTAGACAAGATAGAGACGACTGACGCTAAGCTTCTGTCACTAACGCTATCTGCTTCATCCATTTTCACCTCCATTTAAACTTTGCTTTCAACTTAAATATAGTTGCTGTGATTTTCTTTCCATGTCACACCCTATAAATGCATGTGTAGACTATGCATTTGTAATATTACGACACACTTCTCCTGATTATGTATTACATCCTGTGTTCACAGTTAGTCAAGAATTTGAATATATAATAGTGTAACTACTGTGTGATAGTAATGTTTTTTTGACCATATGAAGTTTAGTTGCGTTAATTTACTCTTAGATAGCTTAACAATAATCCCTGGATTGAGTTTAAGAAATTAGACACGGACTGACTGTTTCGATTACATATTGGATACTAAGCACACTGCAAACCAGTGGTGATGCTGCTGCAGCTTCATTCTTTCTCCAATAATCAGCAGTCAGAAAGAAGTACCGAAAGGTTCTTTGAGTGGTTCTTATGGTAGGAAGTCAATACATCTGGATCACTGTGATCAACTTTCAGCCATGTCATCAAGAGGTCTCGACAACTGATTCCTGTCGTTTTGATGTCTGCTTTCACGTTTTGTTCTACCCACCGTGAACCGTCATTTAATCCGATCCAAATTCCTCTAGCATGGTACGTGAAGGTAGGCTGTGGATCATCATGGACACAACATGCCCAAGCCACCTCAGCCAATGAAGGCTCAGAACCTCATCTACTGACTTGCCTTCCTTTCCTAGTACCCTTCATCTGACCTCAACATTTCTCTTACCGTGATTCCATCAAATGTGGGCAATGCTAAAAAGACACCTCTGACCAAACACCTGTAAACAGCTTCGTGCCTTCTACTTGTAATGGGTATGTACCACAGCCGTACAACAGGACAGAAGGGACTGTAGCGCAGCATACTCCTCGTTCGATAGACAGTTGGATATTTCACCAGTCACCACTAAATATGACGCTAGTCGTCATGGTTTCACTGTTGTTTTCACAATCTTTCTTGTTGTCCTTTACATCATATCCCTAAATAGGAAATTGTTATGCATTTTAGGAAAAAGCTACTGAAAAGATGTAAATAGTAGTATGTGGTTTTAATGTAATTTTCTTTCATCAAAATAGGTCTGTCAAAAAAAAATTGGCATTCACTCTTAAATTACAATGGACATATAGTTTTGAGTAGAAACGAAAATTTTTTAATAAGGTGAACACTTGCCATTTACTGTTTTATCTAACCATTCTTGAACATTTAATTGTCCTAGATATATACGATTTTGCCGCCTAACTTTATGATACTTTTTCAAATTCGTTAATTGTTCAAGTGGATAAGGATAGATAAACTTTTTACTAGAATCATTTCTATTCACAAGATGATTGTCTAATTCCGTTTGAATAATATCTGCATGTAATTTGTAATGACTTAATTTCATTGGTGAATTATTTGTACCATTGTTTGTATCACTTGAAGTAGAATGAATAGGTAGGACAGATTTCGCACGTCTTTTTGTACGACATTTTTGTTGTTGTTGTTGATGGTGGTGGTGAGACTGTTGGCTTCTTCTAGTAAAAATATGCTTCTGATTTACTGCAGGCTCATATGTACAGTGAGTTTTGCTTGGGTTATTATTATTATCATCATCATTATTACCCAACTCATATGTTTGTTTTATGACTTTTCTTCCTTCATTTTCATCATATTGGATGATTTCAGAAGATGAGTGATTTTGAATCAACTTTTCACTTTTTGTTTGTGGTTGACTTGAAGAACGATGATGTTGATGGTTCTGATGGTCATATCTATTTATGAAAGAGAATAGAAGAAGAGGAAACGAACTTAGTGTTTTACTTTGTTATGTATTACTCTATAAATGAAATTGCACTTGATGACTGAAAGGAATTTAGACTAGTGTGATACTCGGCTATTGTAAGTCACTAGTACAGCAATGACATGGCGTCTTCTTGGAATTAGTCTCCCATCTTCACTTATCGTATTCATACTGTTGTCCAGCCTACCAACTATGTATTTATTGAGTAGTATGATGTTAATGGAGATTGCAAGATATTCGAGCATAAGTGGAAGTATTTAAGCAGTTGATATTTCTCAGTTACTTGAATCCCAGAAGATTATTCATTCCTAAGGTATTTGAAAAAGAAGTCGAGTTAGGTCTAGGCATCTCATGAGGTTCAAAATATAACAGGATGAGCTAAATCTTATCCTTTTCTAATCAATCACATACTGCCTTTCTAGTTCGTTTCTAGTTTAAACTAGCCACATTCAGCAGTGGAAAAGGAAGTGATATTCTGTGGGTTAACTTTTTCTGAATATTTCTTTCAACAGTGGAAGACTAGCGTTAATAGAAATGCCGGCTTATCCTCAAGGAACATTTCACTCATGATATATTCCAACGGAATGTAATCGGATTATTAGAAATATTTTGAGCAAACACATTAAATGATCAAGATAAATTAAATATTCTTATTGTTTTGTCGATGTATATAAAAGGAACAGATTGTTTCAGTTGAGTATGTCAACCGCCTTACTTTTTAATTTGGTTTGTCATTTATGACACCTTGGTTATTAAACTGCTTATCATTATGTGTGATGATGACTGTAGTAAGATAAAGTCAGGAGAATTCTTGAAGTTATTAACCAATAATCACAATTACTTTCCAGAGGGAGGGGGTTCCATTCAAGTGCATTAACTCTTGTCATAAGGTGTTAGGAATTATTGAGTGATAACCCTAGGTGGTAAGCTTCTTAATCGATAACTATGATGCAGAGATATTCCCTACGTTTAGAAAGCTTGAACATTACGTCATTTATTATCTTTTGTTTTTCTAAGCATATCAAATTTGTTCTTCCATACTAAATGTTTTATTTGATGTACCCAATAGTGATACAGTATAATTTATTGGATGAAGTTTCCAGTAAAATTTATTGCTCGTATTCGCATTAAAGTAATCAAAGGACCTTCAAATGTCACCTATATAGCCTAACAGTTCGTTTATTTATTCAAAAGGTAGTAAAAGTTTCCATATATATATAATATGTAATGCATCATTCGTGTCACATTAATTAGGTGCTGGTTGATACAATGAACAAAGATTATTTGATCAGTCTCTCCCTTCATCTAGCTATATTAGACTTAGAAATTGTCTTCCTCTCCCACCCACCCTATTAGTGTGATCATGGGTCATTGCATGCAGAGGGTTAGTTGAGTTTTTCTCTAAATTACTTATCTTTGTAGGGTCTACCATTGTATATCTCGCTAAATCTTTGTATTCTGCTATTCGGAATGAAACAGAATGGCTGCTTTGACCTATATACTTTGCCTCACAATCATTACATGATATGTAATAGATTAGGTTGTTTTTCCTAGTGACTCTATTGGATTTTTAGCCCGAAAAGTTTCTCTTTAAGCGAGTTTATGGGTTCAAATGTCACCCTGGTCCCAGTATTGTTAAGGATTCTACGTAAAATTTACGATATATCTTCTTCATATGGCAGCACTACAGAGGTACTTTGCAGTCACTACTAACATAACCATTCTTTATAAGAATATAGTTTAACGTAATCCCAGCGTGTTTTCATTTTCTAAACACTCTGGGATTATATTGAAATGTATTCTTATAGTGATTCAACCAGACTCGGCGATCAACTTCTTCCAGGACATTCGTGACAACTATGGTTTGGATGCTTATAATAACCACTTTTTTCTCCTATCACCCTTTATAAACCTTTTTATAAGTCCCAGAGGATAGTTATTATCATTTAGTGTCCCTGAGATACACTTCATTTCCATATTTAGGCTTTCTGACATTCAAGTCAAACTTCTAGTCTGATTACTTAAACATTTTATCAAGCCTACATTGATCGATATAAAGTGAAATGATGTGAAATGTAATTATCTATTCGGATGCGTTGGTATCTTATTAACACTAGTATCTAAGTTTCCATCTTCCCTCCTCTTAATTCTGCAATCCAACTTGGGTAATTCTGTTGATAAAATAATGCTATGAATAGGACTATGTTTAGCGTCCACATTATTCGAATTTCAAGGCAAAATATATAAGCGAACAGGAGTAGCGATGGGATCACCAATATTTCTGATCTTAGCAGACATATTTATAAATAGTCGGAAACAAGTAGCATTAGGAACATTTCAATCCATCCCAAAAGTATGATGGCAGTATGTAGATTACATATTTAATGTGCTGAAATAGGGAAACATTCAGAGTTTTTTCACACCCATTAACTCGGTAGTAAATGCAATCCAATTCAATTATGAATTCGAGACTGAAAAGAAGAATTGCCACCTATATTGAGTTGCAAAATCAAAAGGAGAGAAGATGATATATTAGATACCAGTGTTTATAGGAAACCAACTGATGCAACTAATAGATACTTGGATTTCATATCATCTCATCCTATATTTGTCAAAATAATTTGGTTGGTTGTGGCTAGCAGAAGGATTCAGGACGCGCGTTTCGTCCTATTTGGGACTGGATTCTTCTGCTAGCCACAACCAACCAAATTATCATAAATAACATTCAGGCAATATCAAGGCATCCGCATAGCAGCCCATATGCCAATAGAGGTCGAATAATTCGATCCAATAAAACAACGGAGAATAACAAGTATGTCAATGAATAGTAATAATCTGTCAAAATAGTCTAGGAATATGGCTAATAGGTCAGAAAACCTGAATAAGAAACTGGAACACATCAAAGGTACACTACTTCCTCTGAAATTAATAAAAAGGTTAGTAACGAGTAATAAGAGAAGAAGTGGTAATGTTAATACGGATTGCAACATGCCTAAGAGGGAACTCCAACCTTCTTCAGTGTTCGTGTATCCAGAAGGAATATTAGAAATTTTACGCAGAATTCTTAATAATGCTGGGATTAGGGTAGCATTTAAATCCACTAACTCACGTAGAGAAAAACTTTGTAAGCTAAAAGATCCAAAGAGGTAATGAAGTAAGACTACCTAATCTGTCGAATACCATGTAATGATGATTATGAGGTCACGTATAAAGGGTAGAGTAGTCTGTTGATATCAGTCAAACTAACAGAGAACAAACATTTAGCGAAACCAACAATGATAGATTCATATACAGGTAAGGTTTGAAATAGTGGCTAACCTTGTCTTGGCGCTTAACTTTTTTCAGGACATTCATGATACTTATAATGATAGATCCTGGTGATATAAGTAGTTTAGAGAAAAAACTCATCTATCGTTCTGCATACACTGACACATAATCACACTATAGGGTGGGTGGAATAAGATGAAAATTCTAAAGTCTAATATAGTTAGGTGAAGGTGGAGACTGATCAAAGTATCTTTGTTCATTGTATCAATCAGCACCTAATTAATGTAACACGAATGATGCATTACATATTGTACATAAATAGAACATTTCGCTACCATTAAAATAAATGAATGCAGAAGTGTTGGACTATATAAACGAAGTTTGGAAGTCATATGATTTCGAAATAATGGAGAATATTTGTAGCTCAGGTGGATGCTCTTGGTCGTATTGTGTTCTATGAGCTGGGTTGTTTAATCGTGAAGCTTTCATCGTCTTGCTAGACGACATCATCAGCACTAACTTCAGTATGAAGTGAGCTGTCAACATCTCTGCGTGAGTGAGTTAGTGGCTTGTTCTGACGATGTGGTCTATGACTGGTTGTTTCCTTCGATTGTTGTGTCATTGATTGTATAGACCTTCCTGTTGGCTGTTCCTCTGACCTTTGTGTCGTTTATCATCTTTCTTATTGGTTGATAGATAGGGTCTATGTCTATACATCTGTTGATTGCTGACCGACTGAATGCCAAGCTTCTAGGAATTCTCTGACATTCTTTGTGTTTCCTCTGTCCAAAATTACTACATTGTCGAAATTGAATTCATGTCCATGGTTGTTATCCACATGCATTGAAATGAGGGATGTAATGTCGTGACGTTTAATAGCCAATTGGTGTTCATGTAGATGAAGGCGAAGAGGGTGACCAGTTTGTCCAACGTAGTATTGACTACAGTTATTGCAGCTAATTTTGTAAATGATATTCGATTTATCTTCTTTGGTTGTCGCATCCTTTGATCTGCATAATAGCGTTTACAGGGAATTTGTTGGTTTATGAGTGGCCACACCAATTCCAAGTGGTTTCAGTAATCTTATCGTGATTTCTGATACATTCTTTATGTGTGGTTGGATGATGCGTTTGTTGGTTTCTGTCGATGACTTTGTAGTTGATGATGCACGGGATAGACATCTTCTAAAAACGTCTCGTGGGTAGCCGTTCTTCTTTAGGATGGACATCAAGTAATTTTCTTCGTTTCTCTTTGAAGTCAGCTTACTTTATACTGAAGTTAGTGTTGATGGTGTCGTCTAGCAAGACGATGAAAGCTTCACAATTAAACAACCCAGCTCATAGAACACAATACAACCAAGTCATATGATTGCTATGAATATAAGTAATAAATTGTGGTTGACACGTCATCAAGCAGATTATACTGCATTAGTGTTGGCTACAACGAATAAACAAACTAGTATGGAGTCATATTCTAACATAGTGCCTAAGTTTTACCACCATGTTCTGTATTATTTATTTTAAGGCTATAACAACTGTAATTCATACACTTATATATCGGATCGAAAGTATTAATTTTGATCTACAGACTCATATTTTCTGGATAGAATCACCTATGATTATTTTGTTTGAAAGGTATTGGAATTATATTTCCTGGGTAATTTGAATTAAGGTTGCATTCTCAATCTGAAACGCGCAAATATTCATTTTAACCCTAATAGTTTGGTTTTGTGATCATTTTCATGTTACTAAATTACAGTCAGCAGCGATCATTTTCCACTTATTTGCAAAAGTATCTTCCTGGTTTACAGAACAATGAGTCAAAGATTGTACTGCAGTTGTTTTACCTAATAATGAAGGCTATCAAGTAATTTTCATTCTCATTTAACAGTTTTTAACGACTGATTGAGTTCTAATTAGTTCTCATCACCGAGTGACATCAACTAAAGTATCGTTTAAAATATGTGTTCAGTGAACAACTGTTTCTTCCTCAGCAGTGTGTTCCCATGATCCCATGAAAGACTGGACCCAGGACCATCAAATCTCATTTCATATGCGCAGATAGTATTCAGTGTGTAATTCTATACTAGACTGTTTACTTGATCGACATTGCACACAGTGACTCATACTTGAATTTACAGGATGACGTTACTGCTCATATTCATATCACAGTAATCATAAGACTTTATAACTTCCTTTATATACTCCAACGGTTCATCATTGTTTTATCTGGAAGGTAGTAAAATGTTCCATATATGTACAATATGTAATGAGTTATTTCTATTATATGCGTTCGGGGATGATTGACTCAATGAACAAAGATTCTTTGATCAGTCTTTCCCTTCACCTAGCTATATTGAATTTTATAACTGTCACTTTGTAGGCTAAAAGATCCAGTAGAGTCAATTAAGAAAAATACTTTTATCTATCAAATACCATGTAATGGCCGTGAGGTGAATTGTAGGTCAAAGTAACCGATTTCGGTCATTCAGAATAGCAGAACACAAAGATTTAGGGTGAGTGGGATAGGATGATAATTTCTAAGTCTAATATAGTTAGGTAAAGGGAGAGACTAATCACAGAATCTTTGTTCATTAAATCAACCGGCACCTAACACATGTCACAGGGACGACTCGTTACATATTGTACATATATGAAACATTTTATTATCTTCCAGATAAAACAATGATGAACCATTGGGGTATATAAAAGAAGTTCGAAATTCCTTTGATTACTTTGATATGAATATGAGCAGTATACTCTACTCGAAACGTTATCCAGTAAATTTGAGTGTCTGTCACTGTATGGTATATCAATCAAATAAATAATCCGATATGGGATTATACTCAGTTTTTCCTTAATATTAATGAAACATTTTAAAATATTTTTCCTGTCATCTCACATTTATAAATACTGTTAAAACACATCGTCATGAAAGAATATTGATTTCATCATTAGTATGCATATAATAAGATTCTTACTCAGTAACTTCACTGTAATATGATCATCGTGTAACCTAAAGTTTGATTTCTCTATAGGAGAAACCATTAAAATTACATATTACCATATAATCTTTAAATAAATTCAGAAGGAAAGTTCTATGCGGTACTTTTACGCTTCTAGTTATCCTCCTGATCAGTATAAATAAGTCCAGTAAATTATATTATTATTAAGAAATTGATTATTTAACTTACGGTAAATTATCATCTTTTGGAATATATCTTCGATTTGTTGGACAGTGTATTTGACTCCATAGTGGAATAAACCATTCATGACATTGATCACAGCAAAACATACGTTCAGATGAATGATTAACAAAATTATTAACCTTCGTATTTATGATAAATAATTTTTCAGTAGTAGGTGTAGAATTGTGAGGATCTATGCTTTTGTCTTTATGATCCAATTGATTATTTTTATACAAGCAACATTGACAATGGAAGATTGTATGCTGTCTGTTGTTAATTGTGGTAGTTATCTTCGGCATACATTTAAAATGATTACAACCAATGTTTTCTATTAAATCGTGTTTATGATAATTACAGTTTAGATGACTACAATTCGCTTTGATGAACATGTTACTACCGTAGTTAAAACAGGGTGTAAGCTGGCTACAACAAAATTCAGTTTTCTCATTTTGGTAATTGGTTTGGTAGGTTGGAATTACATGACAACTGTTTCGTTTAAATTTATCATTGTTCAATTTTATTGAACACTGTTGTAAGCAATGTTGGTTCTGTTGATACTGGTGATGATTAGGTAAGCACTTCAAGTTTTTACCATGCATATGTTTTTGTTTATGTTCGAATGCATTTTCCTCGTCCAAGTCAATATTACCAGGGGATGTTTTGGAGGCTGACAAGTGGATATTACTCCTTTCCAACTGGTGTTTATCCCTATCTTTTTCTTTGTTAGGATCCCATAAAATTTTATCCTCTTCGTAGCCACTTTGTAACTTTTGACAAAAAGAACACGTTAGATAGCTGTTGTGAACAGACTGATTCGTATTATGGCGTATCAAGTGCTTCCGTGGATATTGTTTATATTTGTGGGTTTTTCTTTTCTTTCTTCTACGATTTACTCTTCGAGCATCTAAGGAGGATAACGATAGTGTTGACTTATCACTCCATAAGGAACCTTTGTCAACTTTTTTCCCCAATGTAGCAAGAATGTGCGTCTTTTTTAGTTGAATGCTTTGATAATCATTGGTGCTTTCAGTAGTATTTACAGCATTAGTATTATCATCATGCAAACTATTGACTGGAGTGAGTGTTGACGATTTTGGTAAATCTTTCGGATTAAGTTTAATGCATAATCGCCATAACTGCTGTTCATCTTTGTCTGTGGTTTCGTTTTTCAAAAATTGTTTTTGGGTTTCATTCAAAACACAATGACCTAGCTTGATATGTTGATGGATCTGTTTTCCGGTCGTCTGTGTTTTTGCATTGTTGACGTTGTTATTATTATCATTATCTTGATATAATTTGTCATATTCCGATATCTTCTTAATAATGGCTCTAGAACGGTTCTGTTTACCGCGTAATCTTGCTGCAACTACAGCAAAAATTGAATGGATCAGCGTTGTATCATCCTAGATTTTGGGTGAATTAGAAACGCGATATAAAAATGAGTCGTGCAACTGATAAATTTCTGTGCATTCCTTTAGTTACTTATAATTGGAATAAGTAGTTAAAATAATTTCGAACACTGTGTTGCGTGAATCGAAACCTTTCTTGAACTTCCTACGCAGCTTTTCTCGAACCTTTCTAACAGACTACCTGTGAGTATTATGGTTCTCCATCAGCCGTGCGAATAAAAAAGCTAGATATAAACAACTCATGAGATTCCATCGTGGTTTCAGTTGTCAGGTGAAACACCCCAACCACAAATTGATCTACTTCAAACAGATAAGAAGGGAGAAAACCACTTCATCTCCTGACATGGGAGCTAAAAATCGAGCATATGAGTCATCGGTGTTAGCTGTGCAGACCGAAGTGGTGGAAAGACTGGATGGCAGTTTAATTGGTTTCAAGTAAAGTGCATATTGGTTTACTGAGATCAATACATTGTATCAAAACAGACCACAAAATGGATCAGATATTTGAACTGACCTGTAATACCTGGAATAGTAGCAATTACCTTTGAAGCTTTCGGTAAGCAGTTAATAAAAACTATTGAATCACGTCAATAACTATCTTATTTCGTGCAGTTTTCATGCAAGTGTTTTGTGACACAATCGTTGTTGTCCTTCAGTATGGTTTTTAGTGAAAATCGTGGTGGGTTTTGAAGATTAGATTACATCCAGCTGAGGTTTTGCTGCCTGATACTCACTGAGGTTCTATCACAAGTGGAGGCTTATTGAGATGATTTGTCTTGTCTGTCAGATAAACAAATATAGTCAACATAATACCAGTTAAAACTGCTCATGGATCCCTATTGTCACTTTTCACACAGGCTCATTGTGATGGAAGTCCACATTACCAGAGAAAGAGATGAAAGCAAATACACTGGAAACCGTGAAAAGTCCTTCAGTGGATGTGAAGAAAATGAATATAGGTACTAAGTTGAACTGAAATCAGTTAGAGGACTATTGAAAACCTGGGAGCGCAGGACAGCTGTTTCATTCAGTCATGAGACTTTTCAGCAGCACCCAGTCAAGACTACGCCAAGGATAGAATTTAGGATATCAAAGTCTCGTGGTAAGACTATTAGTCATCTAACCACTAGGTTTGAGTTCAGTGGTCAACAGTTTCCTACTTCTGTGCATTTGCGATATAGCGAAGTCTCCGTTCAATTCCGTCGTTGAGTAACTATCTATTTCTAATTAGCGACTCTTTTTAAGATGAGATTATTGAAGTTCTAATGAGGAGTCTCTACTGGTGAGGCAACAATAGTTAAAAGTGAGGACGATTACTGAATGATGTCATTGGATCAACACTGTGCTTTATCATGAACCTTACAGAAGTAGGAAAATGTCAATCATTAGATTCCGGCCCAGTGGCTGAATGGTGATGTGGTAACCGTGGAAACTGAAGATCCTGTGTCCGACTCACGATGGGGTCATGGGTGTACAATGTTGAAGGTCCGATACTATGATGAAACAGCTGTCCAGACTTTTAAGTTTTTCAGTAGTCTTCTAACTGACTTCAGTTTATGATTGATATCAACGTGAAACTAACAAGTGTGTAGTGATGTTATGATTTAGATTATGATGACATGTGAATTCATCTACCTTACTGCCATCTTATCTAACTCATGTCACCTGGAGTCTCTATCTACCGATTTCATTATTTTCATTGACTCCAACCACCAAGAAGATAGTTTACTACAGACCTCGTAAAAACAATAGGACAATGAAGATTGCTTCTGACCAAACCAAATACTTTTCATGGACTAATTCGTTTTCAGTTGGCGCATCACTTAAGTATTTATGATGTGAAAGTGTGAGTGACATGCTTCTCACTCATCTTAGTGAATAAATATGCAAAACGTTTTAACCGATATTCTACGCTTAATCACTACACTGGTCACATTAGAGTGATACTAAATGGTAATGGAAATGAAATGTCAAGTACGCATAACTGAATAATCAGCAAAACCTTTTAACAAAGGTAGGCTTAGCATTGTTTCATGGCCGATATTGTTGCATATGATTACTATTACTGAGTTTCTCATACCTCTCTCTCTAGAGACTTGACAAATCAAGATTTGATACATGCTAGGCTAGGTAATCTTCGTTGAGTCCTTTCTGAAATGGTTACAGATGCATTTTGTCTAAATAAGTACAAAAATTAGACAAATCGTAGCTTGAATTGCCCAGTAGAGAAGATAACACATCCATCAGTCCATGGTATTGCTTAGTTTAATAATCATATAGCATTTATCACCTGGTAAAATAAAATCAACAGTTTCAAGCAAAACATGAAAAAACTAATTGTTTATTGACTGGTCATATAATTTCTCTTAGTTCTCCTAACGAGTTTTTATCTTGGCGTGCGAGATCGCACCTTCAAAAAGATTATATTGACACCGTAAGCAGTGAGATTACAGTTCAACAGCTGATTGCTAATATGTCTGCTGGAATTCCTAAGGCATCTGGATTTCCAGATTATGATGACATCAGTTCTATTAGAACAGTATACTTAACATACCACACAATGATACAGTGTTATTCACTGGAAGGTCTTTTCAACACAGTTTATTTCTGAATCATGTCAAGGACTGTGTGTATTAGATTGTTGAATGGCTTCGTGGTTGGTTGGTTTATTAACTTGATTTCCAGCCAGTACGTCGCAAGTATGATACCAATTCCTAGGACCGAGATTTTGGCAACCGGTTAGTATTGTTAGTCTTAGCACATTAGGTGTGAATGTACACGAAGCTAATGCTTGGATTTCAGTTTTTTTACAAAGTACGACTGTCACAGTGTTTCTTATAACAAATAAACTAGTCGAACATGGACTAAAACTTTCACAGTGTAGGTCTTACTGTTACATAACGAGGAAGTAACAAACAATCGAGTCACTAGCATGACTATCAGTAAAGCGAATGCAACCAATACTAACCTCTATTGTGTTATGCTCATCTTCAAAATCATAAAAGGTAAATGACCAATGCTTCCGATATTGACATTTTGATAGGTTATTGATTGTAGATCTGACACACGAGGTAGAAGATGAAATTGACGCCATCGATCGACTATACGATAAGGAATTAGATCTTCGTTGTCTTGTTGACTTACGTGATCTATGGGATACAAATCGACGATATTGTTGGCCAACATCAGGACCAATTAATGTTTGACCACTATTTGAAGAACTTGTATTAAAGTGGACATTTGATGAAGATGGCCTGTACGATAAATAATAATTGTTAATTGAATTGTTATTATTTACTGGATCACGAACTATATTACTGTTAACGATTTTAGTACTACTGGTTCGTTGATTTTCATTTTTCACTTTATTGCCGTCTTTTGGCATACCTGTAGTTGGCGTTTGGTATGTTGATTTTTCAGGCTGTAAAATGTTGAAAAGCATGAAATATGGTTAAGATATACTACTGATTTCACTCTATGGTAGTATAATTAATTACAGAGAGGTAGTTGTATGTTAGAATTGTTCGTTTACGGAAACTAAGTAAGTGTCACAATATTTCTCATTGTGAACTGGCAGTGTTTGAAGGTTGTTTTCTAATAAATTGATATCCTTAAATTGAGCCAAGAAATTTATCCGTATACTATCGTTTGGGGAAAAAAATGTAAAACTCCAGATAGATGTTATAACCTCTGGAACCAGATGAATTGCTGACGAAGACGACTACTTACCGCCATTCACAATAAATATGCCGTATTGTTACAGAAAGCGACAGTAAAAAGATTTTGATGAGTTCCTAAATAATTTCTACGAAAAAGCTAGAGCACTGTTAAACCATAGTTGGATTTGATTGAGGTGTAAAGAATTAGTCCTTAAGATTGTTAAGGCTTTATTCAATGAAATTCACTCAACGGCATTTACTAGAATGCTACTTACTGTCTTGTTGACTGATGACATAAAAGCTGGTGTGGAGCCAAACTTTAAACAAAAAGGATGTGATTTGCTGAAAATGCACTGCTGGATTGGTGAAAAGGTTTTGATTTCTTGATCCTAATCGCTCACCTACAAAACCAAAATTCTAGTCTCCCAATAGCAAACCCGAATCAAAGCATACATTCAAAATGTACATTAGACTTCAACACTTCTCTCTGAAGTAGTGAGAAATTGATCTGTGCACTTAATTTCCGATCAAGAGGTGATTGGTTCCCCGGTCCAGTCTCCTAGCTTCATCTATCAAAGTTTGAGCAGTCACTCACACGATTGGTATAGCTTACTGTCTACTGAAAGAATGTTGGCAAGGTTGCTGAGTTTTTTTCAGATTATGAAATATATCAGATTTTATTTGACTGGTTGACGATACAGTAAGATAGGTTGACTTGATAGGTCAGTGTTGTCTTGTACATTCATCGCCTGTCCAAGAAGTCTCCGACTACCAGCTTGAATATTTTGCTTTAATTACAGACTGATGACAAAATGTCCAGATATCAGAAATCACTCTGAAGGGTCCACTTTATTCATTATTTTTACCTTTTTTCTAAACATTCATTATCTTGAAATGGTAGATCTTTGTTCTTTCAATTTTTTTTGTTTCGAATGAACAGAAAAGTTAGACAGAAAAAAATTCATAGTGAGATTACTGAAGAGATGGAAAATGGCAAATCCACTTTGTGATAGGCAGTTACATTTTTGTAAATGGTGTTGCTTTTTTTCGTTTTATTCCTTTTTCTATTCACTTGCATGGAAGTAATCCAAGATAAGAATCACGACTAAAATCAAGATCAAAATGATGATTTGAATATGATAGCTGTATAGATCTGAAATAGTATCTGATCGCCCAAACAAATCGACTTTTAGGGTTTAAATAGACCATATACAACGCATGATTACAACAGTAGCAAAGTAACTGAAACGCTTGTACACTAATTACACGAATTCCAAACAGAACGGAACGTACATCCTGGACTCTACTGCTACCCACCATCAAAACTATCAGAAAGAATAACTGACAACATTATGGCTTTGCACAGAAGCCTATATGCTAGTTGCCCCTAACCTCTCCAGTCCCGTCAGCAATAGTCAACGATACTGACTGAGTAATTTATATGTTATCGCAGAGTAAAACAATGCCATCAGTTGAGGAATCTTTTACCCTGCAATAGGTTTGCGTGAAAATTACACCTAGCTGCAATTATTAGTTCAGAAAAACATAAAGAGGATAAAGTGTGACACAATATCCTTTCCATTTCGCCTAGTACATTATACAACAGAACGAAGATGGTAGATATAGAGGAAAAACTGAACATGTGACAATAACAATACTTTTTGCAGTAGTAATCTATTCGGATGTGCCAAAAATCATTGAAGCGCTCAACAACTATGAATGTCAGAAGAAAACCACCTCTGTGAAATCTCCATAGCCAATGACCATTCATTAAATTCCATTCAGACATGTCTATCAACAGAATGCATGTTTCACGGACGCATATCAGCATAATTACCTCAACCTACAAAACGAATCACTCTGCCATAGCTCAAAGATTTCCTGTGAACTACTAACCGATTACTCCACCTATTAGATATCAGCCTGGCACGTGAAACGACTAGATATCTGCAGAATATATTGTACAGGCTAAAGATTCATTACTGAAAAAAGGTAAGACGAATATAATGGAAAAAGTTAGTTGCATGAACCATCATTCTCACTATGTTCGGCAGTCCAGTCGTAAGATGGGCCAATGAATTCATTAACACCAACTTGGAGCTATATATTATGACAGATTCTCATTGATTTTGAAACATACAGATGGACACAATATTAACTGGGACAGTTTAGAAATACTACAACAAGCAAGCTTAAAAGCCGCAAGATGGCTTCTGAGAACATAGTACTCCACTCCAATGGCAATAAACAGACACGTGGCTATTGGTCTGATACATGGGCTACTAAGAAGGTACCAGGCAACTGGTATTCAATCAAGCAAATCAGATAACACGTCAACAGCACAGGTCAAAAGATGACAATAATTATATAAGTCAACGTCCATGAAGAAGGAAAGACAAGTCACCTCTACCCACTAGTTAGTAACGCTAAAGGTTGGCAAATTTTCTTTATAAACATTCATGTAACTCAGAAATGCTTCACTTATATGGGAAGTAAATGTTGATCAAGTTACCTAACCTGGTGGTGAAACATCCAAGAACAGATCTGAAAGTTCGAAAAACATCAAATATTTACCATCTTCATTTTCATCTTCATCTAACATCTTTTCTACCTTCTCATAAACCGTAATCTTTCAAACTTCTCTCAACTAGCCTTCCTTATTCACCTAAGGTTTTATACTGATCTTGCTGATCTTGCCATCCATCGACTGTGAACTATATTTTTACAGTAGTGATAACCACATACTTGTCGGTTGTACGTATCTCATGCTTCAGAAATCATATTTTGTATGTATACTATATTTAAGGCAGCATAAAGCTTTGTGTTGAGTAAACAATCGGAAATTTTAACTATGCCGTAGATTGACTTATCTGTTGCAATCCATATGAGGCTTATATGACAAAATTATTCTTGGCACTGATTTATCTACGTTGATGTGAACACATGAGTAAATGAAGTGGTCAGTGAGTTCACTTAGTTCATTCCACATCGGTCGTCATCGCACACCAGCATAATTTATATTTTCGGGCCAGAAACTTGTTGACACAGTATTCCCAGAGTAAGCAATCTATTATAATACTTACCTTCATATTACTGTACAAAGTTGGTAGGAACATATATCATTCTTCAGCATAATTTCGTTTGAATTGTTAGTTTTAAGGAAGCCAGTAATCTGAAGATGCTTTATATCCGTGAAATTATTGAAAAATAAGTGGTCAAATCGTTGATTACAAACTATGTGATGCAGGTTTGAACATCAGGCGAGACAACAGTTCCTTACTGACGGGTGCTAACAAACATCTGTCAGTATGCACCGCGATGCTCAGCTTTCTGGTTTGTTGGTCAGGTTGTAAATTGGCCCATTAAAATACGGTCCACAGGCCAGATTGGATAACGTGAAATTGCTTGTCTTCCTATGATGAATCACTGCGAGATAAAATGGGGTTAAGACATCCAGATCCGTTTCCTTATTTAAGGTTTCATAACCTTCAGGCTAACGCATGACACTTCCGAGGATTACATTCATGATTCTTACTGTTTATGATCAGTACGTTATGTTTCAGTCACTTACTCTAGACCAAGAGTTTGTTAAAATCACAGAGACCAAGCTTTCTGTAAAAAAAGTTAGCATTATTCCACAACACGGTATAAATTCACCCTAAATATATAAGTTTGTACACATTTCAATGTGATAATATGGCGGGTATACTTGACTTCAGGGAAACCACACTTATTTAGAAAACCCGTAGACTGTCTTTCACCATACTAAATTGTTAGCGTTTTCTTCAGAATTTGATAGTGTGTAGTTTTTTATCAGCCAAAAAATTAACTAAAAAATTTCTTCAACTTTTCAATGATTATTTACGCTGAAACAATTTGATCCAGTATAACAACGGAGAATTACAAGTATAGCAACAGATAGTTATAACTAATACCCATCGTAAAAGAGATGGTTGTCACGCTTCAGTAGCTCAGTGGATTAAACTCTAGCGTTAGAAGCGATAAGTACGAGGTTTGAGTCTCAGTGGGAACAACATCACTCACTGGGGCATAGAAGGCACGTCCAGCTGACGAGTCATAAATAGGACGAGACACGCATCCTGGATTGTTCTACTAGCCACAAACAAGTAAATAATCGTAATAAATATTCAGGAAATATCAAAGCATCCGAATAGGAGCCCGCATGCCAACAGAGCTTGGCATACAACGGGGAATTGCAGATTTATCCACCAGTGGGTACGACTACTTACATGATAGACCGAAAAGTAATTTGGCAGTTGGTTCCACTCGTCGGAGTGACACAAACCTTTATCAACGTCATTCAACAGCTATATGAAAATGTAACATGCCAAGTGATCCAAAATGGAAAGCTAAGTGACGCCTTTGAAGTAAAGACAGGAGTAAGACAAGCCTACCACCTACTATCACCCATGATCTTCCTGATTGTGGTCGACTAGACTGGATGATACAGCAAACTGTGAGGAGCTATGAGAAGATGGGTATACGCTGCCTGAACCAAAGAAAACAGCCTAGAAGATTTAGATTTCGGCAACGAGGATGATTTATGTCTAATGTCTTGTGGCAAAAACTCGAAGATTTAAATGCGAAAACTAACAAGTTGACAGAGGAGGCTGAGTAGCGAATATGGGACTACACGACAATGTAGCGTAGACGGAGGTGATGAAGATACTCAACTAACAACAGCACCAACAACTAGCCCAAATCACCATTAACGGTAGAAATTTGAAGGAATTAGTCTCTTTCAGCTACGTACCTATCTACCTGAGCAGCTTTGTTTCAACTACAGGTGGCGACATAGACCGGGATGTGAAAACCAGAATCCAGAAGACACCAAGACAGGCTTCCACTAATCTGAAATCAGTGTGAACATCTACTGCACTCAGAACAAACAGTGAACAAGATCTGGATTTTCAACACCAATTCAGTCAAGTCGGTGTTGCTATGTGATGGTTCAGAAACTTGACGTGTCACGAAAAGCATTCCCAAACAAACTACAGACATCATACATCAACAGCTGCCTACATTCGATACTGAAGATGGTGATGAGATGGTCAGAAAGAATCAGGAACAAGGAACTCTAGCCTACCAACGAACAAACCAATAACCTATCACCTAAAAAATATGCAGAAGAAGAGAGTGGAGATGGATTGGGTAAAAACTGAGAAGACAATTTGGGGAGATCACGTGCCAGACCAGGCAATCGAGTCGAATTCAAATGGAAAACGAAGAGTTGAGCGTTGGAGGTTAGGGTGACATAGAGGAGATGATGTGAGGAAGAAATGAAAGCTTGTGGGCAGTGGTGGGGTGAGGCTGAAAAGACTGCATAGAAGAGAGTATAATGAAGGCATTCTACTGAATCCGTATGTTCCACTAGGAACCCAACGGGAAAGAAAAAAATAATAATTTACGTGATATCAGTTATCATGACGGGTATTCAAACCACATACACTCCTGACACTTACTTGTTCAAATTTTAAGCAATTAAGTTTACACTGAAGCTGTATATTGTTAGGATTAGTATTATCTGGATAAGTGATCCTCCGTTTAGGGAACAATATCAGATTATTATCTTCATTACTCTCAAGTTTAATATGTGCTTCTTGTTGTCCTTGATGATAATTCTGACTTGGAGAAAATTCTTGCCATTGTTGACAATTTAACTCATCATATACCATCTCATTGTTTAAATCAATTAAAAGTTGAAAATTATCTGATCTAATCTTTTCATAATTGTCAACAATTGTTGGTATCATATTTGACAAGTTATTTGTCAATTGATTTACATTATTTTTTGTTTGCTTTGATGAAACTGTTGATGATTGGATGGTAAGTGTTGGTTTGAAATGTTGATGTATCATTTTTGCTTGTGCTAATGATGGAGGCGGAGGTAGTTGCATAGGTAAAGGTAGAGATTTGATATATTCTTTACGATCATCTCCATTATTAAAAAGTTGTCTAGTGGTTTCTACAGTAATATTATTATTACTACTAATATTGTTATTATTATTTGTAGTAGTAGTAGTAGTAGTAGGGTTTGTTGTTGGTCGTATAGTTTTATTCACATTGTTCACCTGATGAATTGAATTAGTAAAATCACTTAATGGCAAATATGTTACATCTGTTCCCAATTCAATTTCTTCATAATAATTTAGTTCATTAGGATATTTTTTCATATTTTCATCATAGCTATGCAGACGTATATGATTAAATTGATTTATTTTTCGTCTTCTTCTTCGACTATTCCTATTATTACTTTCAGTTTTCAATATCTTATTATGATTGATAGGTGAAACATTTATAATTGAACTACGATTTGGTATCGATTTCGAGCGATTTGTTTTTTTATCTTTGTTGTTGTTATCATCAATATCTTTATGTTCACTATTTCGCCATAGTGTATTCGTTGAATCATTCAATAATGGTGTGGTCATTGATGTTATATTGTTTAAATGTGTTGTACTACAATGACTAATACTACTATCTATATTACTTAAGTTATCATAATAGTTAGTAGTAGAACTGAAATTATTTATAGTTGTAGAATTCCATCGGCAATTGTGAGATGCTGGGTCACAGTAGTCTTTTCTTTCTTCAAAACGTAATAAAATTAACATTGAGTCAATGGCTTTTCTTAACATTTAAGGTGTAACTGATTTCAGTCTTCAACAGTACGATCGTTTAGTTTATGTTCCAAAAAGTAGAGTCCGTTCACTTTCTGTTAGCTAAAGGAGAAAAAGAGTGGATGATTGAACTTAAAATTATGCATTGAAACAAGACAGATACTGAAAATAATTTACTGGTTAACAGTTGAATCATCTTGATTTGTGACTATGTGATAGATCTGGGGATAATAAGTCACAGCTCACAAATTAAATCCAGAATAACATAGCGTCAGGCCTTCATCCATAAATCAGGATTACAGAATATAAACAGTCACATCTTCTCTAACTTAGTATGCTCAGCTAGCAACCTGGTGCATTTAGCGTCTTAAGTTATCACGCAATCTAATCCAAAACCTTTAGAAATCACGATAAGCATTTTCGCTGCCAAGTTATATTTTTTTCACGATACACAAATTAATGACGCTATTCTATATTCCATTAGAACACTTAGTAAATTGAACTCCAAGTTGAATTAACCGGAAAGTTGCAAAGTGAATAGAATTGTCGTTAAATAGTATAAGAATGGAAACAGTGAGGAATGAATTCTCCAGTAATAATGTATGAGACTTATTTACAAGCTTCGTATACTTGAAATGTAAGTGTTTATATTAGAGGAAAACCCTTGGCAAGAAAAACATCTTATATACACATATTTATTCTGTTGAATGCTTAGTGTTGAAATTACCGCTTCACTCATCTTTTTAAAATAATCAAACAATGAATGATGTGAAGTTTTTCCTTCCGAAACAGATGGTGTTAATTTTAACAAATATTGCAGTATACTAAACATGAAAGAGAATTGACGGAATTTTATGGTTTCTGTATTTTGGTAGCTTAATTATCCGTCAGACGCATCAGTCAAGAAAATAAATAACCAATATTTTAACCAATATATATATATATATATATATATATATCTGGTTCAGATGATGCGTTCATTTGATTATAGTCGAATACAGAATGGATGTTTGATAGGATTTAGGATTTGTCAGATAAACTTCTCTGTACATTTTATATTACCTTAGTATTCCTGCGTTAACTGAACTGTAGCAACCATCAATTTACACAAAAAATACTGAACTAACCAAGTCAAATTTTAGAACCATAAATTAATTCATCATACTGAAAGAAAACTGCATTTGTAATGGAAAGTGAGATATAGAAATAAGGTAATGATCTTATCATCTGACTATCTGAGATAGCCGTAGTATTTATACTACGTGATGGTTGAAGTTGGAATGAAAATTTGGACCGCAGCCGGATTCGAACCAGCTGCAGCCCGGTTTCCGGGTTAATGCTCTACCAACTGAGCTCAGCAGTCAGACCTCGTAGCTGTGTTAGCAGAGCATCAGGTAGGAAACCTGATGGTCGCTAGTTCGAATCACAGTGCCATTAAAGTATATATGGTTTTAAGTACTACGAGACTGTATTTCTCAAATAGCTTGTTCATTGTTCATTGGTCGCTAGGTTTGAAAATTGTTTACTGAATGCTTAGTACGAAACCATAGTCTATCTTGTCAAATAAATTGAACATGGGAAGTAATGATAGTCGATGATAGTCTAACTATATTGTAGATTCAACAAAGATGAAATAGTCTGAGTCGAAGCATTTCAAAAAGTTGCTGAGCAGAAAAAATGTCCACACTTGTATTTTCCAGTATAACGCACGATACTGAATATAGAAGAGAGACAGTGCACTTTCAAGATGTTTCATTGAAGTAATATTTCGTACCGTTTGGTTTTTGGAGCATTTTCAACTAACCTATAGTAATGTTAGCTATCTTCAAGGTAACCGGTGAGGCATATTCACTAAGTAAAATCTTGTAGGTCACCAAGCAGCTCATTAGCTGTACATTTATAGCCTTTAACCACAAAATAGTGACTACACCGAAACTTTGTTCCAGCCAAACTCTGACGATAATGAAGTTTTAGAGTAGTTATTGTGGGACACATCTCAGTGTGTTTATTACGTGACAACAGAAAAAGAAAGATAAAGTGGAAGCTAGTTGTAGGATGTATTGATTCAAATTGTTCCAGTTCACAACACCATAAAAAGATACTTAAACAAACAGCAAGACTAATGAAGATAAATAAAATCTTCAAAACTTCAAGAACGATGGATTGAATATTCCTGCGCTACCTTCTTAAGCCATATCATAAGAAAAAGTCAACGGTGAATTCTTAACACCCTGATGACTCCAGTCGACTCGTATGCCTTTTTTTGCACGGTTAGAAATTTCGTTAACTACTTTCCTATCTAATTTGATTGCCTTCAGCTTTCTTTAAAAAGTAAATTGTACTCAGTTTAACAGTAAGTGTCAGCGTAGATAGTAGCTCGACATATAAACTGCAGAAGCTGTAAATTCCATTTTGCAGCTTCATGCCTTCATCCGTTAAGTAACCACGTCTTGTAATTATCGTGCGCTTTATCTCAATAATGTTCACTTTAAGCTCTACTGTATAAGTACTTAGAAGACAAAAATCGTCGAACACGTTTGAAAACCTAAGAAAGGAAACGACTTTTAATACCACTCTAGTTACTCAATAATGTTTGTTAATACACTTTTAATTCTCCGTTGTTGTGCTGGATCGAATTTTTTGACCTCTATTGGGATATTGGCTTCTATGCGGACACTTAGATATTACTTGAATATTTATTATGGTAGTTTACTTGGTTATGGCTAGCAGAGGAAACCAGGACGCGAGTTTTGTCATATTCGGGACTCGTCTGCTGTATGTATCCGCTGTACTCCAGTGAGTGATGTTGTTCCCAATGAAATTCAAACCTCGTAACCATCGCTTCAAACGCAAAGACGTCATGCAGTAAAAGCAACGGAGAATTACAAGCATATCAACAGATAGTAATAACTAATACTCGTTGTGAAAGAGGTGGCTATCTTGTCTTAGTGGTCTAGTGGAGAACGCCTTGGAGTTTGAAGCGATGGGTACGAGGCTACAGTCTCATTAGGAACAAGATCACTGACTGGAGTCCCGGCACACCTCGCTGACGAGTCCTAAGTTGGATGAAACGCACATCCTGGATTCTTCTGCTAGTCACAAAGAAATAAATTATCGTAACTAGTTAGTTAAGCAGAGACACTTTAGTACATTCGCAGACCAACGGAAATCAACTTCCTAAGTTTTATATCTTTTTACTTTAAAATAATTTCAATCTGAAGTATAATCCTTCTTCACATCTTAATATCAGTGAATAGGTTTACTCTAGATGTTTTCAATCCACGATCTCATTGATCATATGTTGTTTTTTAATCGTTTCCTTGTTCCATAGCCTGTTTCAATGTAAACTTTAATGTGTCCAGTAAGCACTCCTTTTAGAAATGACAATTATTGCGTGTATTAGAATCTGAAATCAAAAGAAATTGTTGTAATTGTCAAGATAGAAAGTAGTATACATTGTTTCAGTATATTAAATTGAAAACGGTGTCCCTGTCACAATGTTCACTTGACATTACTGATACATGTCAGTAATAGTAGATCACCTTCCTCTTCTTCGTTTTATTTAATTAAAACAGTTTGAATTGCAAATTTCAGAAATCGTACTGAGATTAACAAGTGTACAAGTGCATAAAAAAGTCAACTATAACTGGGAAGCGGCCCATTAGACTAGGTGGAAAACTGTTCTCTTTTAGTATAGCAAAGATTCTCAGATGAGGAGCTAAGTAAATTCTCTTTAACTGTGGAACTGTGAAAAGACATAACCAGTCGCATACAAGTTAGTGGATTGGGTCGTAAGTTACGCTTATTGCGTAAGAGATTATGATCTCAGCTATTTTTTTCATTCATTACTTGAGATTTGGACACGTAAACTTGTACAGCATATACCTACAGGGTAAGATGATCAATGGTGTAATGGGAAGAATTTCATGTAGACAGATGAAACATTCAGATTATCTATATCTGTCCACTTACATTAGAGGTAAGCTGAGCTTCAAATTATATTGTATCCAAGTCTGGTGTTTATTTATTTGATTAAACAAACCTGTTGATTGACATTGCCTATATTAAACTACTTATATCACTCAGTAGTGGTAGTAGTATCTTCAGCGTGTTACAACTTTTAAAAATAGCTGAAGTAAGTGATTTTTTTTAAAGAGATTTTTAAATTTTCTTTTTATTTTGCCGAACAATTTATTGATATTTTATTTTACTTTGAAACCAAGTTTATCGTAAATGTTCTACACAAGTAAACAATCATAAAATTCTCTTTAAAGTGTTTATTGCTTTAAATAGGTTAGGCACGTAGTTAGTCAGTTACCTAGTGAATTACACAAAATTAGAATGTTTTTTGTAACGCTTTTCGTAAATACACTAACAGGTAACTAGAACAATTTAGTATGTGCAGGAATAATGTTTTTATCTGTTTGTTTCGGTTGGTGTTTCGTTTATAAAAAAAACAAACAATATTCAGCCCGCTTATCTTGTGTGTTTGTGTGTGTATACTTGTTTTCAGAAAAACGGAATGTATTTTTGTAACTTGGGTAAACGTTATTTTCAATGGACGTGAAAATACTTCCATGGAACTGCATTGCACTGCACTGCACTACATTATACTATGCTCTTACTTCACTGTACCTCATTAAACTGTATTACAGAGCACAACACAACAGATCATTATAGCACAAATGAAACCCGTATTACACAAATGTGCTTTTCTAAATTAGTCGGCATTTTTCAAAAGAAAATTTTCTGATTATTTAACCAAAACAACAACACTAACAGCAATTATCGGACAAAATTATCAAATTTGTTACACCTTAATTCTTTCAAGTTGAATACCGCTCATTTATGTGTATGTATGATTTTATGTGTTAGTTGTTTGTTTGTGTGTGCATCAATGTTCATATGTTTATTGGTACACTTATTACCTATAGACTACCATCTCAGTTATGTAAGCAAGCTAACATTTCTATGTGAAGCCAGAAGATCCAACTGAACTGAGAATGATAATGATGATATACTTTGTTCATTGAAGAATATACACAATACAGATTATCAAAAGCAATACTTTTCAGCAATTTGTTTAGACGTTTCATTATTCA